CTTTTTCAGCAAGCGGGTCTGACCTAGGGTGAATTTTAAATAGGGACAATTTTAAGGATTTTAACAAGACACAGCGACAAATATTTGGTTTTTAATTGGCTTTTAGAGGGGAAATGTTTTATATTGTTTTAACATGCTGTGAGCCGCCCTGAGTCCCATGGGGAGAAGGGCGGCATATAAGTTGTGATAAATAAATAAAAATAAATAAATAAATTATATAGCTACCCATCTCATATATGTAACTCTGGACAGCTCACAACAGTTAAAAAAAACTTATAAAACACTAAAAAAATACCATTCAAGAACAATATAAAGACCATATAAAAACTCCAGTAATGTGGTGCATGTGTGCATGTAGGTCATGTCTTCCATTTAAAAAGACCCTGGATTTCTGCTTTCCTAAACTTGGTATTTCAAGATACAGGAGAATTTTTTATCCCTTCCAAAAGCATAGCTTGCCTTCTGCCAGCAGGCTGAACATAGCAAATTGCCATTGGAAATCTTCCTACACAATTGCATCCTGCCATGGTCCTATAGTGGTGAAGACCTTCAACTTCAAGGCTTCTGGAGGGCTTTACGCTTATGAGTAAATTTCAAATTAGATATCCTATTCTTCACTCTTTCCTATATAGGGATTCCTCGACTTACAACACTTCATTTAAACACCGTTCAAAGTTACAATGGCACTGAAAACAGTGTTGTGACAATTTTTCACACTTAGACCGTTACAACATCCCCATGGTCACATGATCAAAATTCACATGCTTGGCAACTTGCAACAAATATTTAAAAGGATTATTTTTCTGCCTCACCTGCTTCTCCTAGGTATTACACAAAATTTGGATGTAAAAGAAATTAATTTGATGTTGTACTGTTTAACTGCTGCCCGTTTGCTGATAGCTCAAAACTGGAAGAGTAAAACTTTACCAACAATGGAAGATTGGAGATTGAAAGTTTCGCATCTTGCTGAAATGGCAAAGATTTCAGCTTATCTGAAGAACCACTCAAATGAACAATTTTTATCTATATGGAGAAGATGGATTG